TAAGAGTGACCAACGTTAACACATGCACATTAACATAGATGACTAAGTGCATGGGCAGACCTGCTCGTTGAGTTTGGGGTGTGAAGGTCCTTGGTGAATGAGAAGCTTTACGATATGCTCATCTCCCTTCCACGCAGCCAGATGGAGAGGATAGCAGCCCTTGTTGTCTGCGATGTTAGTCAGAGCCTCGTTTCTTAGCAGCACCTCCACCACCTCGCTGTAGACGAATAAAGAGACAGGTCAGAAAAAGCCAACAATAAAAACGACATTAATAAATACTCAGAGCCTTAGTAAACAGTCAATCAGTAGATTCATCTTCCCCGTTGTACAATGGTCTGCCAGGCCAGGCTGCATTCAATTTCAGAGCATAAACAGACGTATTCCCGAATTCCAAACGGTGATCGCTAATCTACCTGTGTCCATTAAGGGCTGCGTGGTGAAGAGGGGTGTATCCAGTGCTGTCCACGCAATTCACATTGGGGCCTCTCCAGATACTGAAAAGCAGAATGGATTGTCAGTTTTCCATAACACAGGCAATACACAACAGGAATACCATACCCTACACCAAACAAACATTGCCCATCCCTCTGTAAAGTCTATCCACGGGTGTGACTGTTGCTATTCTGATTGCTATCTCACGGCTCCAGTCTCACATGGCTACATCTACTTTAAGGTGGTGGCAAACCTTCATGTTCTCTCCTATTCTTTATAAAGATAAAGATAGGGGATGTCAGGAATGAGGAAGCACTGGGCCAAAAGCCCCATCAAACTAGGAATACAGAAAAAAAAAAAAAAAAAAAAAAAAAAAGTACTGCCAGCAGTAGGAAGCCACTGAGATGAGCTCATCTACAATAAGTCTGTGCAACCAAAGCCTGATTATTCTGGCCGAGGTCCTGATGTAGAATAGGCTTTTGTTATGTAATCTAACTAACAATAAACAAAGCTTTGGGATGGAGCCAAAAGGCACCGATGGGGTAAAGTGTAAGACAGAGCTAAACTACTGCTGGCCTTTCATTTATTTGAGCTGAACTCAGCTGTCAGCTTAGATTGGTTTGTTTCTTTTAATTTGCAAAGAGCACTGTGGGGAGGAGGGAGGAGAATGATGACAGGAGCGGTGGTAAAGACGGAGTAGTGGGAGTAATTTCAAGAGCTAAAAAGAGAGATAGAGTGCCAGGACGGGATAGTGAGGCTCTCTGAAAGACCTTAAAACATCCTAAATAAATCATGTGACTAGGAAATCCCAGCACTAGTGAACCAAATATGTGAGACCAGAGTCATCTGGCATACTGAAAGAGAATTGGAGCAAAACAGCTGGGCCTCACAGAGAATCATAAATGTAAGACGATTTGTTTAAAAAGAGATGAGAATTTTTCAAAATTTATTTGGTTTTTCAGATATTCTGGGAAAGATGTCTGAAATGCAAAATACCGCTTTGACAGCTGGATAGCTTCATAAATTATTACTGGTAGGAATTTTGATGCTAGCAAGCAACTTCTATGAATGGCAAAAGAATAGCAGCAGCACAGTGCATTTCCAACTCTTTACAATGTAAAAACTAATTTAAACACACGGTCTGGGAGTCAAACACATTTAAAGATACACTGAAGATTGATCTGTAACATAATCAGTGTGTAGACAGCGTGGCAGTGGATGCTCACCCTTATATCAATGCCACTGACAGAGTGTGACTTTGCTCCACATTCACGGCTCATTTTTGCCACAGTAATGGCTGTTTTGCCCCCTTAAAATACATCTCCCATAATAACTCTGAGAACAGCCTGCAATTACACTGTGAGAGCCGTCTCATTAAATAAGTGTCTTGGAAGGCTCTGTAGCCTGCAGAACAATGGGCCTGACAGAGCATGGACGCGCAGAGACGCACCACTCTACAACTCATAACAACCTAAGCTGTTTATTTCTTGCAGCAGGTTTTCTGGGTGTCATCCCAACTAGTCAGGCAGCACGCGTGAAGGGGGATATCAAAAGCAGTGCCAGGAGGAAAGACTAGTGGGAACGTGTGGCAAGAAATGTTAGGGACAGATAAAATTCTGTTAGAGAGTGGAAAATATGCGAGCTATGATTATGTCAACTTTTCAGGCACACACACACACACACAAATTCACTTCCTGTCTTTTAAAAGTAACCGAATGTGCAGTAGAGAGAACAGCGACACTGTCCTTTGCTTGTCCACTGAACACATCAAAAGGGAGACTGAAACAGACCGCTAGTTGCTGTCCTAGATAAAGAGTTATATAACTGCTTAAAGCAGAAATCCCATATACACAAATGAACATAAACATGAACGGAGCAGTGACTACAACTGGAGAATTAAACAAAATGTGCCACAGGGCAGAAAAAAAAGAAAAAAGTAGGAGAGATGCAAGATCATGCACCTTTGATTTTGGTGCGTTCATTGTCTTACACAAGTAAAGGCAACAGTTTACTGTGCACTTTTATGTATCCTGTAGTATATCCACATCCAGAATTTTGACAATCTTCCAGAAAGAAACATTGTGCAAGACAGAAGTCAGCTGTATCATAAGACATATTGCAAGATTTCCCTTTCACATTTTAAGTCCTAACCTTTAAGCCTGTATTTTTAGGTTGTTTTTACATATTGGTCTTCCTCATCTGTCGTGAATCTCTGTTGTGTTACTGCCACTAGAAAAAGAGGGGAAATCTAAAAATACCACACAGAAACAAACAGTGTTTCACATCATCCTCATGACCCCAAACATAAAAAAAACAAAAACAGGAGCACACATTATTCTACTGCCGCAATATTTCACTTTTAATCGGGGCTATAGCATTAATCCTATCAAAATCACCTCCACGCAGAGGGAATGACGATGTCAGCTCATTACATTTTCTCACTGTCACAGTATTTCAGTTTGCTATTAACAGAGGTGCCTGCGGCAGCAGCTTTAAGCGCAGTACAAGTGTTACGTCCTCTGAGCATTTTGGCAGCGTGGTACTCAAGGGCATGAGTCAGAGTGGTGCTCGACAATCCACTTCATCCTCTTACTACGGCTCACAACCAACCTAACTGAGGGATGGGGCTTAGGCCCATAGCTGGGCAATGGTCAAAACGGAGTTGATTTGGTTTGGGAGCGGGCATATTCATGGGAACTGACTGAGGAATTCCTGTTTGAAAGGCTGAGCTAATCCTTAATTTGCCTGAGGGAATATCAGCAGGATGAGGCCTAAGTTTGAAAGAGATTCTGGAGGACTGTAATTCTGCTTTGCACAAAGCCTGGCTACGAAGAGATGAGGATGGATAAGAGCATTTTCCATCTTTTTTTTTTCCAACTGTCTTTACTTTATTGGTTTAACAATATTATATTAGTCATATATACTGAATATTTAGGCTTAATAATAAACTTTTCTTTCCCTCAAGTCCAAAAGTCACTGATGTATTATTTATTTAGACCAATTTATCTCATTGAAGTATGGTTTTCAGTCTTGAAATTAAATCATGTTGAATACACGATAAATAAATCAAGTCTGTATTGCAATTTTATCCATATTCAATAAACCCAGTAATAGAAGCAAGTAAAATCCCATTTTAGTCCCACTGTTTACAATATTTCTTGCTTAAAATGTTTAAACAACAGACAGTATACAAATTAAAACAGAGACTAGAGCATCAAACATCCCAAATGTTCAAACAATATTAAAATCAAGGTATCTGAATATTTAATTGTTTTAGCCACTGATAGATGGGCTGGGAAACCCTATGACTAAATTTGATACCTAATGGTGGGTGTCGGATACAAAGACCGTATGGGTTGCTGACTCATCTAAAGCTAGTCAGCAATGAATAGCAGACTGATCACACCCCTTTCTTAGTTCTTCTGCATATTTGTCACACTTTATTTTATATAAACAAACTCTAATATTCAACAAAGACAACCCAAGTAAATACAAAATTCAGCTTTTAAATGGTAATTCCATATATTAAAAGGAAAAAAGCTATTCAACCGTACCTGGCCCTGTGTGGAAAACTATTTTGCCCCTCCTTGTTCAACTACATTTTTTTGGAAAGCTGAGTTCAAGTTTATTAGCCACACCCAGACCTGATTACTGCCAGACCCATTAAAGGAGGAAGTCACTTAAATAGAGCCCGTGAAGTCAAGTAGACTAAAGGCAACGCATCATGCCACGAGAAAAAGAAACTTGAGAAACAAAGTGACTGATATCAGTCTGGAAAAGGTTTGGGACTCCAAGGAAACACGGTGAGAGCCATTACGCACACATGGAGAAAATATGAATACTGGTAAACCTTCCCATGAGTGGTCAGCCTACCAAGAGTGCATCAACAACTCATCCAGGAAGTCAGAACAGAAGCTGGAATAAAATCTAAATCTAAAATCAGGCCTTACTCGCCTCACTTAAGGTTAGAGGTCATGATTCAACAATAAGAAAGAGACACAAGTGGCATCTAAGGTGAAATCAACTGCTGACCAAAACACACAAAGGCTTGTATTACATTTGCCAAAACACATTTTGATGATGCCTGTGACTTTTGGGAAAATATTCTGTGGACCGATGAAAAAGTCTGACTCCTGTTACATATCAGGAAAAATACAGTACTTCATTAAGAGAACATCATACCAACAGTCAAACGTGGCGGTGGTAGTGTGATGGTCTGGAACTGCTTTGCTGCTTCAGAATTGGGACAACTTGCTGTAATTGATGGAACCATGAATTCTGCTCTCTGCCAGAAAATCCAGAAGGAAAATGTCTGGCTGTAAGTTTGTGCAACAGTTGGTACAACAAGCAATACGTTTAGGGGACAATTAGTTGACTATGAGGAAAAAGTAAGTTCCTTTAATGAATAAAATCGTAATTTATCGGGTTATCGTTGGCTAAGTAGCAGAAATATGCAAAAATCATGGCATTGCAGGTATAATAAAAACATCAGCACTTTATCATTATTTGATCAACATTCCCAAAAGCTTACATCATCTTGGGCCAGTGAACTCATGTCATTTAAGGTAAAGCTGCATTCGTTTGCACACATCTACAATAGCTAACATTACGTGTAGCTCTTTTATTATTAACAATGTGATGTAAATGAATTTTTTAGCACATTATTTAATCTGTGAACATGATTTCTGCCAGAGTCATGTCAGATACTAAGGATTTTTATTAGTTTGGAGTTAAACATAACAAACACGATAATCCCACAAAATATAATCAAATATCTAATTTTTAAACTGAGAGTGCATCAGTGGTAAAAATGACATACGGTGCATGTAAATGTTTATTCATTGAGC